TTCTCCGCCCGTCTTCAAGGCGCGTTACGTTGCTCGAGGCTTAAGTCAGCGACAGGGAGTTGACTTCTTCCGGACCTTCTCCCCGACCCCGAAGATGACCACTCTTCGGGTTCTGCTGCACGTCGCTGCTAGCATGACTACGAGCTACACTCTCTTGACTTCAGCACTGCTTTCCTACAGGGCAGCCCGCACGAGGAGATCTGGCTGCGCCGCCCACCTGGCTTCATCGTTACACCTTCAGCCTTGGCTCCGGTTTTGTTTCGTGGCGGTCTACCTGCTTGTCTTCCGTTCTTAGCTCCAGCTGTGAGGCTGAGATCTACGCAGGGGCCATGGCTGCACAGGAGTTACGCTGGCTCAACTACTTGCTGGCCAACTTGGGAGAGGCGCCTCGTTCTCCTCTAGTTCTGTACGTCGACAACAAGGCAATGATTGCCTTGTCTCATGAGCATAGATTGGAGCACAGAACGAAGCACATAGCTCTGCGCTACTTCCTTGCTCGAGCGTTGCAGCAGCGTGGTCAGCTTCGTCTTGCTTACGTGGCCTCTCAGGCCAACACTGTTGATATCTTCACCAAGGCACTTCCGCCTTGTGATCATCGGCGTTTCTGTATTGTTCTAGGGCTTGTGCCTACTTGGCCTCACTTGCTCACTTCTTGACTTTGCTTGTACTGTGATCTATATACTTGTATCTGCATGCTTACACTTGCTAGGTTTTGATCGCTGTACTGCTTGTTCTCCTTTATATATAACTCTGCATGTGAACTGGCCTTGTGGCCATTTGCTTGTGCTCAGAATGTGTGGGGACTTCGTGATCCACCCTGAGCTTGCTTTGCCTTTCTTGACTGGTCTTGTGACCTCGTGTTCTTCTCGACTTTGCCTATGGGGGTGTGTCAAACTATGTGTTGCTTCTTATGTAGGCTGTAGTGGGGTAGCCCATATGGGGTACAACCCAAATTAGGGTTAGCTACATGTACCCATCTCGCTTCTAGTTGATTCATTCCTCGTTCTATCTTTCACAGGAGGAGTGCCTTGCAAGGTCGTCATTCTGGGCCGAATCCTGCGAGCTCGATGTTCAGGAAAATTTCCTGCGAAGTTGAGCTTTCAAGTTTTGCGATTTGTTTCGAGGGAGAAGGTGTGCAGGGCGGTATTACGGCCAGCCGTGGTCGGTTGAGAGGGTTGGGAGGAGTTTCCCGCGTCGCCATTCCTCAATGTCTGGAGCCCTTGCTCCAGAGTTGAAAGTCGCTGAAGTAGTTGTTCGAGTGCGACGGTATTGATCGTCGTCGTCGCCTCGTTTGTGGCAGCTAGGTTGGTTTGCGCTTCGGCTGTCAGATTTGTCTGACCTCCAGATCCTCCGGCCATCCTTACGCGTAAGCGCATGTTGGATGCCACCTTAGTTTGCTGAGATTTTCAGAGTCGACAATGCGAATGATTCATGAGGCGCTCTCATACCATGTTGCAATCAGAATGTTGATCGTGCCTAGGATCACCTCATGAAGGTTCGCAGGGAGTATGTTGCAGCGGAAGTATTGACCTCAGGTCAGAGTGAAGTCAAAATCACTGGGATGGTTACACCAAAAGGCATACGTGCTATTATATAGTGATACAGAGGGAAAACCAATCGCCCCAACGAGCCACGTACTCTAAAAGGTACATTCCCTTATTGCAGCGAAACTTAATTGTGCGACTCCGGACAGTTACAAACTGTTACTGCCTAAATCCTCGCTCCTGCAGCTGCTCGATGCTTCTGCTCCGACGGTCTAGATGCTGCCAACCGTACTCGCCTCTTCCTGTCATTCCGACCTTTCACCTTCGTATTCGTCTTTGCATTCTTTGGTTTGCTAGTGGTAGGAGTACACAGTGCTTCTCAATTTACTGTTCGTGACATTTTTGAACCGGACTGTAGCTTGTCCGTTGGAGCTATACTAATCAGCTGATTTTATTATTTGGCTTCAATCATGTTGTGCGAAGGTCTCATATTTGGTGTAGAGTCCTTTGCAATCCCTGTACAGCGGTGTGATGTGAAGTCTTTCTACGTCAACCCTTGTCAAACATGAGGTGTCTAATGCCCCGAATACCACCAAGCCAATCAAGCATTGTTTGCGGCTCGCCACAAGTCAAACACGACTTCAAACGAACCTCCTCCCTCGTGGAAGGCGAAATAGGGCGCAGCTTTAGATTTCGGTCAGTTCACTTCGTGATATTCCAACATTGCCCTTCACCGCGACAAAATGATAACCTGTCAATATCGAGCGTTAGTGCGCGGCACCGTTTTGCCGCTTGATTGTTTGAACTACTGAAGGTTCAGACTGTGCTCGGGTAACACGTGTGGTCAGAAGTCGTCAGTATCTTCGTCAAAATTCATGCGACCAAGTCCTTGACGGTTCTCGTCGGTTCGCTTCTCTGCGACGTCACGACAGGTCGTATTCGAACGGATTGAGGCGCACACGCCTCAAACTTTAGCGTTCGGAAAAATAGTGCTGCACTCTAGATTGGTTGCGAACAGAGCAGTTAACAGCAGCATAGACTGAGATTGGAGTGATCTCATAAAGACTTCAGCATAGACTGAAGTAACCTGATTAGACTTCAGTTTTTTCTTTCTTGAAAGTTTGAAAAGTCCTTGAATTGTCTCTTCTTTCCTGCATAGTATTCCCACCTACCAACAAAACTCTGGCAGTATTGATTGACAGCGTGGGACAGCTGAAGTGGTAGAAATCCTCACGCGTATGTGAAGTTGCCATGCAATGAAAAAAGGCCTGGCTCGTTTGCCTCACAGACATAGTAAAGTTTTCACGTTGCTAACGTTTCTTGGACCTTATGGCGATCATGAATCTGAGAAAACCAAGTAAACGCGACGTTTTTTCATGGCTTCTGGCTGTCGTCGCCACGGCCATGATCTTTGCTCTCCTGGGAGTCATGCTACCGCCCTTGCGACCTTGCTCTGCACTCCATGTAGTTCAACCAGGTAAAAAAGTACTAGGATTTAATAGGTTCCGTGGCCTGCAGTGCCGCGTGTAGCACAACCATGAGAACTCAGAGTTCCGATACGCGTGGCCTGCTTTCAGGTGTAAATACTACAAAAGTAGTACCTGTGCAAGTGTGTAGAAATAATGTTAGTAATAACCAACTCGATTTCATATTTCAACCCAATTCCCCCCCGTCTCCCTCCAACTCATACTAGCTCCCCTCCTTCCCCCCCCTGTTAGAATATACACCCCCCCCCCCCCCCTCCCCCCTCCCCCTCCCCCCCCCCCCCTCCCCCCTCTCCCTCCCCCCCCCCCCCCCTCCCCCCCAACCCCCCGTCTTCCTATCCTCCCCCCCCCTCCTCCCGCCCCCTTTCTACCCCCCCTTCCCACTTGTGATTTTCAGCAACCGGAAGGTCCAACACGAAAAGTACATCGGGCATTTATGGACCATGCCGTTACTGACGCCCCCTCCTTCCTATCCACGCTCCCTTACCCCCTAATCCTTCCCCCCCTTCCCCTCCGCTTGTGACAGCAGAAGGAAGCGTTGCAAGCGCTAGGTTCAGCACAACACAGGGTGACTTCGTGCCCCTGCCCATCCGTGCTGTCAAATCTGTCGCAGGGTGGGGGAAAGCGGGGTGTAAGCCCCCTCCCCTGTTATTCATGCTCTCCCTCTTCCCCCTCCCTCCCTGTTAGAATATAAACCTCACCCCCTCCCCCCCCCTCCCCTCCCCCCCCCCACCCCCCGTCTTCCTACCCCCCCCCCACCCTCCTCCCGCCCCCTTTCCAATCCCCCTTCCCACGTCTGAATTTCAGCAACCGGAAGGTCCAACACGAAGCAGTACATCGGGCATTTATGGACGGTGCCGTCATTGTTGTCCTATTGCAGCAGGGTCAGTGGGCTGAGGGCCGCTAACTCCCTGCTCTTTCCTTCCTGCTGTGCTTCCGCCCTTTCCCCTCTTTCCCCCCCTCCTCCTGTTTCTTATCAGCAGCCGGAAGGCCCAACACAAAGCTATACATCGTGCACTTATCGTCGGTACCGTCAGTGCTGTCCTATCGGGGGGGAATCAGTGGGCTACGGGCCACAGCGACTGTAGACGATAACGAGGACGAGTATGACGAGGACGATGAGGATAAACAGGAGGATGGCGGCGATGCTGGTGGTGGTGATGGCAGTGGGAGCACTGGTGGAAGCGGTGGCAATGGCACTGCACCAGGATCAGCAGCAGGATCAGCAGCAGGATCAACAGCAGGCTCAGCAGCAGGATCAGCAGCAAAATCAGCTACAGCATCACCCACAGCAGCACCCACAGCAGCACCAGCTGTTAATGGTGGTGGCAATGGCACTGCACCAGGATCAGCAGCAGGCTCAGCTGAAGGATTAGCAGCAGGAGTAGCAGCAGGGGAAGAAGCAATAAAGGCAACAGCAGAATCAGAAGAAAAACCAACAGGAACAGAATCGGGAAAGACTGGCTTTTATGCGGATATTCAGTTTGCAAGTGCGGCTGCTGCAGAGGCGGCAATGGAAATGGCAGGAATGGGAGGAGCAGGAGCAGCAGCAGGGGCGGAGAGGTTGGCAGGGGTAGCAGCAACAGCAGTAGCAGGTGGAGGAGGAGGAGGAGGAGAGGGAGGAGGAGGAGGGAGAGGAGTTCGAGGAGTGAGGGTGAGCGCACTGCCGTTTGCAAGAACCGGGCTGGATGCGCTGGTGGAGAGGGTGGGTCAGCGGCTGAGAAAGATTAAATCGCTATCTGTTGGCCGGCGCCTGCTGGCCCGCGTTGCCGCTGCTGCAGTGGCAGCAGCAGCAGAGGAAGCAGCAGAAGAATCAGCAGGAGCACATTCTGCTGGTGCTGGTGCTGCTGCCGGTGTGAGTGCTGCTGCTGATTCTGTCACAGAGCCATCCCAGAACTCATCATTTTACCCATCTTCTGTTTCTTCTACTTTCATCGCCAATCATAGCACGACAGCAGGCATAGGAAGTGCCACATCAGCATCAGCGTCATCATCTTCACCAGCAGCAGCACAAGGCGGTGACAAGGCACCAATGGCAACCGGAGCCACGTCAGCAGTGCTGACGGTGCAGCAGCTGAGTGCACGTGCCGCTCGCATCATGCGCTCAACGCCGTGGGGACGACTCATGCGACCCGACGTGCGGTTACCACACGTCCAAGCCTTCACGGGCTTCCTGGAAGCTTCTCACCGCAGCCTGCTACAGTCAATTGGGATCCCATCCTCAGCCATCTTCCACAGGTGGGAGAGGGGAGGAGAGGGAAGGGGGAGAAGGGGGAGTATGGGGAAATTGCGGGGGGGGAGGAGGGGGGAACTGGGGGAAAGAAGTACAATTCGATGTTAGGAGGTGGAGGGTCCAAACCTCTACTCCCCTTGCGTCCCCACTGCTCTTGTACCTTGGGAGCAGCATTACAGCCCATCTCACCTTTGGGCGGGGCAGCAGTGGCTGCTATGGAGAGGATGAGTGACATCTTGAGAAATCTCATCTCACTTTGTGACCTCTGTGCCTCTGCCTGCTTCCCACCCCCACCTTTCCCTTTCACCCTCCCCTCCCTTTCACCACTCAGCTACACCTATCTGATGAACAGCTTTGCAGCGCAGCTCACCACTGCGGAGGCAAGGCGGCTCAAGAGGCACCCAGCAGTGGCAGAGGTGGAGAGAGACCGCACAGTGCGAGTGACCTCGGTGCACTCCCCTGAGTTCCTCAAGCTCGACTCGAGCCTGTGGCCGGCGAATGGTGGGCAGAGCAACGCGGGAGAGGGAGTGATCATTGGAGTGATTGATTCTGGAATTTGGCCCGAGCACCCCTCCTTCTCTGACCCGGTGAGTTCTCCGAGTGACTGTGTCGGAGTGGGCTATGGCTTTGAGAGCGCATGGCAGAGCAACGCAGGAGAGGGAGTGATCATCGGAGTGATCGACTCGGGTATATGGCCCGAACACCCTTCCTTCTCTAACCCTGTAAGTTCTGAGTCGTTTCAAATCGTGGGCAGAGCAACGCAGGAGAGGGAGTGATTATTGAGTGATTGACTCGGGGATCTGGCCCGAACACCCCTTCTTCTCTAACCCTGTAAGTTCTAAGACGCTTTGAATGGCGGGCAGAGCAACGCGGGAGAGGGAGTGATAATTGGAGTGATTGACTCGGGAATTTGGCCCGAACACCCCTCCTTCTCGAACCCTGTGAGTGTGCCGAGTGGCTGAGCCAGGAATGAGGGCTATGGCTTTGAGATAGTCGTCAGGGTATGGCAGAGAAACGCGGGAGAGGGAGTGATCATCGGACTGATAAATTCTGGAATTTGGCCTGAACGCCCCTCTTTCTCTAATCCTGTGATTTCTGAGACGTTTCAAATGTTGGGCAAAGCAACACGGGAGTGAAAGTGATCATCGGAGTGATTGACTCGGGGACCTGGCCAAACACCCTTCTTATTAACCCTGTAAGCCCGAACACCCCTCCTTCTCCAACCCTGTGAGTGCATTCGTTTTTCTCAACCTCTCACACACAAACCCCAGACCCTTTCCCTTCACCCCGCCCCTCTTTCCTTGGTCCGCCTTCCTTTCCTCTTTTATAGCCTTTTTTTCTCTGCATATCCTCTCACCCAACCCCATACCCTTACCCTTGACCCCTCTTTCCATTGGTCCTCTGTTCTGCTGCCCCAGTGCGTTGGAGAGGCGTGTGCAGTGAAACAGACGACTCTTCATCTTTTCCTCTCTACTTCTTCCTGCAGGACCCGAACGGAGTGCCTTACTCCGCTGCCCCGGTGCGCTGGAGAGGCGTGTGCACCAAAACAGACGACTTCACAGCGTGCAACGGCAAGGTTGTTGGAGTGAGGTTTTTTGTAAAAGGGGCAGAGCGGAACTATGGCGAAATAGACATCTCAACTGAGTACCGGTCGGCACGGGACATGCTGCAGCACGGCACGTGGTGCGCGGGGTGAGTGTGATATCGTCAGGTTTAATCTTACTAGACATGCTGCAGCACAGCACGTGGTGTGTGGAGTGAGTGTGTGGGGGGTGGTGAGTGCAATATGCTCAGGTTTTCTTCTATGAGACATGCTGGGCATGCATGTGTGCATGCACGTGGGCATGCACGTGGGCATGCACGTGGGCATGCACGTGGGCATGCACGTGGGCATGCACGTCGGCATGCACGTCGGCATGTACGTCGGCATCTCTATAAAGTACCGGTCTGCATGGGACATGCTGCAGCACGGCACGTGGTGTGCAGGGTGAGTGTGATATTTGTCAGGTTTGATTCCACTAGAGATGCTGGGCATGCACGTGGGCATGCACGTGGGCATGCAGGTGGGCATCACAAACGAATACCGGTCGGCACGGGACATGCTGCAGCATGGCACGTGGTGTGCGGGGTGAGTGTGATGTGACTTTTGAGTCGCCTCAAAAGGCTCGTGGTGCGCGGGGTGAGTGCTTGGAACAGCAATGTGGTTGGGGCGAGGTTCTTCCTGAAGGGTCTAGAGCGGAACTGTGGCATGATTAACATCTCAACAGAGTACCGGTCGGCATGGGACATGCTGCAGCATGGCACGTGGTGTGCGGGGTGAGTGTGATGTGCCCTGTCTTTTTCGTAATAGTCATGCTGGACATGGGAGAAATGGGGGGCATGCGACAGACGCTGGATAGGTGAGCTGGATAGGTGAGTTGGACAGGTGATTTGGATAGGTGAGTTGGATAGGTGAGTTGGATAGGTGAATTGGATAGGTGAGTTGGATAGGTGAATTCGATAGGTAAATTGGATAGGTGCGTTGGACAATTGAGTTGGAAATGTGAGTTGGAGATGTCAGTTGGAAATGTGAGTTGGAAAAGTGAGTTGGAAACGTGAGTTGGAAATGTGAGTTGGAAATGTGAGTTGGACATGTGAGTTGGACATGTGAGTAAGACATGTTAGTTGGAAATGTGAGTTGGAGATGTCAGTTGGAAATGTGAGTTGGAAATGTGAGTTGGAAACGTGAGTTGGAAATGTGAGTTGGAAATGTGAGTTGGAAATGTGAGTTGGACATTTGAGTTGGAAATGTGAGTTGGAAATGTGAATTGGACATATAAGTTGGGAGTTGGACATGTGAGTTGGACATTTGAGTTGGGAGTTGGATGTGTGAGTTGGACATTTGAGTTGGGAGTTGGATATGTGAGTTGGACATTTGAGTTGGGAGTTGGATATGTGAGTTGGATAATGGATATGTGAGTTGGACATTTGAGTTGGGAGTTGGATATGTGAGTTGGACATTTGAGTTGGGAGTTGGATACGTGAGTTGGACATTTGAGCTGGGAGTTGGATATGTGAGTTGGACATTTGAGTTGGGAGTTGGATACGTGAGTTGGACATTTGAGTTGGGAGTTGGATATGTGAGTTGGACATTTGAGTTGGGAGTTGGATATGTGAGTTGGACATTTGAGTTGGGAGTTGGATATGTGAGTTGGACATTTGTGTTGGGAGTTGGATATGTGAGTTGGACATTTGAGTTGGGAGTTGGATATGTGAGTTGGACATTTGAGTTAGGAGTTGGATATGTGAGTTGGACATTTGAGTTGGGAGTTGGATATGTGAGTTGGACATTTGAGTTGGGAGTTGGATATGTGAGTTGGACATTTGAGTTGGGAGTTGGATATGTGAGTTGGACATGCCACACTTGCCTTCTCCCCTTCCTCCCCCACCCCCCCCCCCCCCCCCCACTCTTCCCCATTTAAAGTGCTACCGGAGATGCAGGTGTGGTCGTTTACAACGGGAGACCTGGCCTTGGGCACAGCCTCAACGAGGCTGGCAGCAGACAAGGCGCTAGCATGAGCGTCCCAAAAATGTCACACCCAACCTTCCCCCCCTTCCCTCTTCCCATTCCCCCCTTCCCTCTTCCCATTCCCCTTCAGAGGTGCCGCTGGAAACGCAGGTGTGGAGGTGACAACAGGCGGCCGAACCTTTGGCACAGCCTCGGGCATGGCTCCCCGAGCCAGGCTGGCAGTGTACAAGGCGCTGTGGATCATCGGGGAGTACCAAGGGATTGGGTCCGGTTCTGACCTCATTGCTGCTGCAGAAAAGGCGGTGGCTGATGGAGTGGACGTGATATCATGCTCGTGGGGGGGCCTTGCCATGTACTTCCAAGACCTGCCCTACTTGCGTGGTCTAAAGGTGAGAATCTGTGCCTCCCCTATTTGAGGACAACATTCATACCTGCCCTCTGCCAACCTTGGCAGCACTTTCAGCCTGCTTGGGAAACGGCAGTACCTGGTGTGGTGGACGTCATATCATGCTCGTGGGGGGGTCTTGCCATGTGCTTCCAAGACCTACCCTACTTGCGAGGACTTAAGGTGCGAATCATCTTTGAGAATTCTCCAAAGTAACTTTCAGGATCTACCTACCCTATTTGCAAGGTGTTAAGGTGAGAATCCCGGATCACATAGACTTCTGTGCCACTCTTGGCAGCAATTACAGCCTGCTTGGAAAACGACAGTAGCTGACGGGGTGGATGTAATATTGTGCTCGGGGGGGGCCCTTGCCATGTGCTTCCAGTTGAGGTTTCATAGCAGCCCGTGCGACAGGCAAAGAGGAAACCGCCAACATCAGCAGACCCATGCAATCATCTCATGCCTCTTGATCCGGTCCGGCTAGATGGTCATACCCTATGCAGCAACCTCATCACTCGCATCCCATTCTCAACTTCTTATTCTCACCCTCCCGTTCTCGCTCTCCCAACCTAACCCTCCCAATTTAAACCTCCCAATCCAGCCCTGCCATTTCTCACCCTCCCATTCTCACCCTTTCTCACCCTCTCATTTCGACCTCCCAATGTCACCCTCCTCTTCTCACCCTCCCTTTCTCACCCTCCCATTCTCACCCTCCCTTTCTCACCTACCCATTGTCAGCCTCGCTTTCACACCCTCCTCTTCTCACCCTCCCATCCTCACCCTTCCCATCCTCACCCTTCCCATCCTCACCCTTCCCATCCTCACCCTTCCCATCCTCACCCTTACCATACCCTTCCCATCCTCACCCTTCCCATCCTCACCCTTCCCATCCTCACCCTTCCCATCCTCACCCTTCCCATCCTCACCCTTCCCATCCTCACCCTTCCCATCCTCACCCTTCCCATCCTCACCCTTCCCATCCTCACCCTTCCCATCCTCACCCTTCCCATCCTCACCCTTCCCATCCTCACCCTTCCCATCCTCACCCTTCCCATCCTCACCCTTCCCATCCTCACCCTTCCCATCCTCACCCTTCCCATCCTCACCCTTCCCATCCTCACCCTTCCCATCCTCACCCTTCCCATCCTCACCCTTCCCATCCTCACCCTTCCCATCCTCACCCTTCCCATCCTCACCCTTCCCATCCTCACCCTTCCCATCCTCACCCTTCCCATCCTCACCCTTCCCATCCTCACCCTTCCCATCCTCACCCTTCCCATCCTCACCCTTCCCATCCTCACCCTTCCCATCCTCACCCTTCCCATCCTCACCCTTCCCATCCTCACCCTTCCCATCCTCCTCACCCTTCCCATCCTCACCCTTCCCATCCTCACCCTTCCCATCCTCACCCTTCCCATCCTCACCCTTCCCATCCTCACCCTTCCCATCCTCACCCTTCCCATCCTCACCCTTCTCATCCTCACCCTTCCCATCCTCACCCTTCCCATCCTCACCCTTCCCATCCTCACCCTTCCCATCCTCACCCTTCCCATCCTCACCCTTCCCATCCTCACCCTTGCCATCCTCACCCTTGCCATCCTCACCCTTGCCATCCTCACCCTTGCCATCCTCACCCTTGCCATCCTCACCCTTGCCATCCTCACCCTTGCCATCCTCACCCTTGCCATCCTCACCCTTGCCATCCTCACCCTTCCCATCCTCACCCTTCCCATCCTCACCCTTCCCATCCTCACCCTTGCCATCCTCACCCTTCCCATCCTCACCCTTGCCATCCTCACCCTTGCCATCCTCACCTGTCCAGATTTCAGGCCGGAGTGGTCTCAACCTTTGCAGCCGGCAATTTGGGTCGCCCCAACCCCATGAGCATGTTGGGTACTTCCTCGAGTGCTTCTTCCTTTTTCCCTTCTCACCCTGCCCATTCTCACCTTTCCCATTCCCACCCTTCCCAATTTCATCCTGTCTATCCCCAACCTCCCATTCTCACCTTTCCATCCTCCAGGCCGGAGTGGTCACGGCCTTTGCAGCCGGCAACGAGGGCCGCCCCAACCCCATGAGCATATGGGGCACTCTCTCGAATGCCTCTCCCTTCTACCTCACAGTGGGAGCAAGGTACGGCTGGAGTGGGGGGGGTGCGGAGGGTGGCGGTGTTTCTGAGATGACTCAGAACACAGCCGGCAACAATGGTCGCCCCAACCCCATGAGCATATGGGGCACCCTCTCAAGTGCCTCTCCCTTCTACCTCACAGTGGGAGCAAGGTACGGCTGGAGTGAGGGGGGAGAGGGATGGGGGTTGTGTTGCAAGTGATACATGGAATGTGATTATAGCAAGGAAGGAGTGGTGGCTCGATCCCAAAAGGATGTGGGGGGCACCCATGGGGAATGGCTCGGGGGAATGCCTCGGAAAAAAGTCTCTTCCTTCCAAGTTCCCAGCCACGATAGCCAGTGTAATCCAGGCTCCTTGCATCAGGAGGGAGTATGGGGAGGGGATAACAGTTGGGTTTAATAAGGCGACGTGTGAGTCGGCTCAAAGGTATTCAGGCAGGAGTACCAAGATCAGCTCGATGGGGTCGAACAATCTTCAAAAGTCTTCTTGTTTCCACAGCAGCACTATGAGGCAGGAAGAACTTCCCACTCCTCGTCTCCCTTCCCCTCAACCCCACTCTTCAACACCCCCCACCCTTTCCGCCCCCCTCCCCACTCCGCCCTCCCCCTCTTCTCATTCCCTTAACCACTGCGTTCCCCACCGCAGCACCATTGGCCGAAAGTACTCGGCTGTGCTCACCTTGGGCGATGGAACCACCTTCACACGGCGCAGTCACGGTGGCACAACTGCCACGTCATCAGCGCTGCCCCTCAGACTCCTGCTTCCCCCCTCCCCCCCACCACTGCCCCTCCCCTCAGCACCATCGGTCGAAAGTACACGGCTGAGTTCACCTTGGGCGATGGAACCACCTTCACAGGATACAGCCTCGGCGGCACCACTGCCACGGCGTCACCTCTGCCGCTCATGCTCGCCGGGTCTGCTGCGTCCCCTCCCGAAGCCACGGGCGCGGTGAGCTCCTTCTCTGGTTTACATGCTTGCTTAGTCAGCGCTGCACCTTGTTGCTAGTTGAATCAGTACGACCACTTGTTGCTTGCTGAGAATGCATCAAATTCCAGAGGGGTATGGCGCAAGGTGAGCTTCACACTCGTGGGTTCACAGCTGGGGTTCACAGCTGGGGTTTCATATCAACTATATCTGAGTAACTTGCATATTTTCAGAGGAGAAATTTCTCAAACGACTCAGAGTCGCCTGCCATCTCTGCACCCCTTTCATCCACCGGGCATCCACCGGCAAGATTGAATGCATAGATGAAAGGAAAGTCAACTTTCTAAGTCGACTCGAAATTCAATTCCGCACCCCTTCCATCCATCAGGCTTCCACCTGTGACCCGGAATACGTGGATGCAACGAAAGTCGCCGGCAAGTTTCTTGTCTGCATTGTGACGGAGTGGGTGCACAGGGAGTGGAGCTATGACGCGGTGCTCATGTGGGCAGACACGCTGGGAGCGGCTGCCATACTCGTTATAAGCGAGGCAGCGGAGTACGACGCGGTTCCTATCTTCTCCTACTCGAAGACTCCTAGCATCGTGTTGAAGTTCTCGCACGGGCAGACCGTTAAAAAATACATTGAAGCTGAAAGCAGGCAAGAAGCTCTAACCTCGTTATCTCTTTCTCCTGTTTTATCTCTTCGCGCATGCTTAAAATGCCTTTCTCAAATATCCTCTACTTTTCAAACACCCGCCTTTTTTATTGGTCCTTCCCACAACCCCCACCCCAAACCCACCCGACCCACCTTCCCTTTCCCCCTCTTCTCCACTGCCCCTCCTCTCTTCTCTCCACTCTTCCCTCTTCTCTTCCATCATCGCATCCCTATCTTTATCCCATCCATCCACTCCCCCATACACAACCACTTCTCATTCCCTTCCGCTTTCCCTCTTTTCCCTTCCATCTCCCTTTCTCCTCCCCTTTCCCCCATTCCTCGTCCCCTCCCCCCCTCCCCCCTTCCTCCTTCCTCCTTCCCCTTCCAATTTCCCACTTCCCCGTTCCCCCCCCTCCCCTTCATGTCAAAGCAGCCCCCACGGCAACACTCTCCACTTCCACGGTCTCCCTCTACTTCACCGCCCCCCAGCTCGCTTACTTCCACTTCCCCCTTCCCCCTTCCCCCTGCCCTCTCTCCTCCCCTTCATGTCAATGCAGCCCCACAGCCACGCTGTCCGCTTTCACCGTCTCCCACTCCTCCAACGCCCCTCAGCTCGCTTACTTCTCCTCAACCGGTCCCCCACGTAGCCCGCTCTACCCTCCTGCGCTACTCATGCGCGACTTCCCCACTAATGACATCCTTAAACCGGACGTCATTGGGCCTGGTTACCAGCTATGGGCCGCGGCTCCGGGTAAGTCGCTCGAGACTGCTGCGACCGACCCGCCCGAGTTTAACTACTACTCCGGGACGTCAATGTCGACGCCGCATTTGGCGGGGATCATGGCGCTGATCGTGCAGAACAAGCCGAGCTGGTCCCCCTCGCAGGTGATTTCCGCGATAACCACGACGGCATATACGAGGAATGAAAACGGGCAGTTGATTCAACGGGCAAATGGAAAGAAGGCGAATGCGTGGGACTATGGAGGAGGCCACGTGGATCCCACGCGTGTCTTGGACCCTGGGCTCACGTTTCATGCGGCGCACAAGCACTTCGTGAATTTCCTTATGATGAGGGACCCGATAAGAACGAAGAAGCGATTCTGGCGCATGGGAAAGGCGCATCCGATTTTCCCTTGGAACCTCAACCGCGCCTCGATAGCAGTAACTCGACTGCACGGCGTTACACTAGTGTACAGGCGAGTGAAAAACGTCTACAACTTGCAATCCACTTATAAAGCGAAGGTGGACCCTCCACCTGGCTTTAACGTGAAAGTTTGGCCAAAGAAGATCACAATCAATCCTGGAAAATCTAGGGTGTTTAGGGTCGCTATCACTAGGTTGTTGCCTTTGGAAGCTTTTAGGTTTGGAACCATCACATGGTCTGACCAACATGGCCATTCTGTGCCAGTGCGCCTCGTGGTAAGGTCTCCCATTTTGCCGTGATTGTCAACAGTAAAGTGGCCTGTGCACATATTTTTAGTTTTCTGCTGCAATCTTTGTATATACGTCGAAAGCTCCATAGTATTCCTAAAACCACTCAGGTTCAAGTTTAAACATCAAATTGTTTGGGAGGTGCATTCAAAACTATATTTGGGAGGCACCAAGCCCAAGTTTTTCCAGTCCAACCATTGACCGATCAACTCCTCAAACAGCTTACATCAATGTCACATCTAACGAGAAAAAAAAGGTGAAAGCATGCAGACTACTTTTCGATTCCGGTGCTCTCTGCTCCACAGTTCATGACTACTTTGCCGAACTCTGAGATGACCTTATTACCTGCTCCACTCTCAAACTTCACTTAACTTTGCTTAATGCTGCTTCACTCGACCACCCAGCTTCATGCTACCTGGGCCATGTGTCAACCTATTTGTTTGTATGTTTGGTAGACTAGGTTAGTTAGCTTGAGGTATTCTTTAGGGAGTACAACTTTGTTGATATGGCAGCTATATGACCTTCTGCTAGCCGTTCTGTTCATATAATTTTCGGACATCTTTTCAGAGCGAAGGTCGTGGGTTTGAATCCCCACCAGAGGTGGCGTGGGCGTCGCTGCCGCAGTGCCATGTCCTAGGCATCTCAATGAGGGGGGGTGTCAAAAGATCTGCACAACATATCCCCGATTTATCCTAGGAAAGGGTTATATGTGCAAAGTATGGGTGGTCATGGGCGCACTCACACCCAAATCAACAAGTCATTTTACCACAATAGTGCCTGGGCGTAGTGGTTGGGATTCTACCACCAAGAACTCCCCTATAATGTACGTACTAAATTTTGACATCCCTGGCCGTAATGGAGAAACTGATGAAGTCGTTAAGCTGCTTTCCAAGTTGTTGATATGGGAGCCGCGGGATCAATAGATGTCTTTGGATTCAGCAATACGCTCGACCAAGGGAAACCAGTCTTCAGGTTTGGTCTGACAAAATATATCGTGTTAAGAACCTAAGGCAGTCATGAGTGAATTAGGTGAAGGCTAGGGTACAAGACTAGGGTGTCGAGAAAGTTTCAGTACCCCCTAGTACTAACCCCCATACAGCCTAGATAACCTAAACAATCATATATATATAATTTGACACACCCCGATAGGCGCAATGGGGGATAGCCAGAGCAAGCAACGGTCACAAGACCAGTCAAGAGAAGAAACAAGACACAACTCAGGGTGGATCACAACGTCACCACACAGTCTGAGCACAAGCAAAAGACCACAAGGCCAGCTCACATGCAGAGATATAAATATATATATATATATATATAGATCACAGTACAAACAAAGCCTACAGCAAGTGAGGAAGTGTGGGCACTAGGCCTAACAAGGTGCAGAAACGCTGATGATCACCAGGCGGAAGCGCCTTGGTGAATATATCAGCAGTGTTGGCCCGAGTGGCCACGTAAGCAAGACGAAGCTGGCCACGCTGCTGCAGCTCTCGAGCAAGGTACCTGCGCAGCTCACCCAGGTCTGTGCACGTGTGTCTCTTCTGCAGCTCCGACTTCACCAGGGCGAGCGCCTCAGTGTTAGCAGTGGCAAAGACCAAGTCGTCGACGTACACTAGAATGTAGAACGGCGGGAGCGAAGTGTCGGTGCGCAAAAACAGCGACGGGTCAGCAGTCGACGGGGGGCTAAGAACCTGGCGAAGCACGGAGCCAGGCTGGGGCAGAGACGACGGAGACGGCAGAGCAAAGAACAGGCGCGGCTGTCAAACATTATATATGTTATGCTTGTGTAGGCTACAGTGGGTTAGCCTATAGGGGGTACACAATTCTAGGGTTTCCTACTTGTACTCATTTCACTGCTAGTTCATTCA